AACCTCGCCACACCTTGGTGAAAAAAAATTTGAAATGTTCAATTGGATCATTTTGGACCAACATTTAATCGTATTCATCATAGCCAGTAAGGTATTTGCTCATTACCGCATCATACTATGGTTGTCGGAAAAGTCATGACGCTTTTTTTTGTTTATTTTAAGGCCATTTTATTCATATACAGCACAAACTTCAATCAATAATGTATTGCCCATTTTGATCGATGACCTTTCGCTATCTTTCAGGCAGCTTCATAATTCCTCGCTCGTAGAAGGATTTGTCTTTACCGGCAAAAAATTGAACAAGGTGCTGATGTACAGCTTCATCTGAAGTAAAGCGTATTTCTCGCAAGGAATTTTGAAGCGACCGAAACAAATGAAAATCAGATGGGGCAAGATCAGGCGAGTATGCTGGATGTGGTAACACATCCCATCCTAACTCCAATAACTTTTGACGAGTGAGCAAACTTGTGTGCGGTCTCGCGTTGTCATGGTGGAACACAACGCCTTTGCAATTAATGAGCTCCGGACGTTTTTGCATGATGGATTGTTGCAAACTGTCCAATTGCCGAAAATACACAGTTGTATCGATGGTTTGGTTCTTTGGCAGGAGTTCGAAAAACACGATCCCTTTAAAATCCCACCAAACAGAGAGCATCACCTTTTCCTGATGACTCTCTGCTTTCGCGATCGTGTTACGCGTATCTACACTTCGGGACCAAGACCGTTTGCGAACCACATTGTTGTAAACAATCCACTTTTCATCTCCCGTTATCAAGCGCTTTAAGAAAGGATCGTTTTCCTCACGTTTAAGGAGCATATCGCAGATGTCTACACGCGCCGTCAAATGAACCTCTCTCAGTTCGTGTGGTACCCAACGATCGAGTTTGCTTACGTATCCCAGTTTCTTCAAATGGTCGTGAACGGTTGAATGATGGATTTTTAAGGTTTCTGCAATTTTCCGTGAGGTGTAATGTGGGTTTGCTCCTACCAATGCCTTTAATTCGTCACTATCCAACTCAGTAGGCCGCCCTGATCGAGGTGCGTCATGGATATCAAAATCCCCATCTCGGAATTTTTTAAACCATCTCTGGCATTGCCGTTCTTGTAGTGCATGTTCTCCATAAACCTTTCTCAACTTTTCACACGCTTGTCTTGCGTTCTTGCCTTTGCGGAAGTAATACAGCAAAATGTGACGAAAATGCACAGTTTGGTCGTCCATCTTCAACGTCCTCTAAAATCGACGAGACTCAAATAAATCACTTAATTTTTTGGTGCAAATGAAGCTTGAAGTGTCAACTGTCAAACTACACAATCAACATACAAATGTCATTGACTCACGTACTTCCAAACATGCAATTGCATACTTTGTTGCATAAACGTCATGACTTTTCCGACAACCCTAGAATACGTACACACGCATGACACGATATATTAGGTTATTTAGTAGTGACCTTGAATTAGATCTTAAGCTTAACCTTGAAGAGCCTAATCAAGGTAAAGAAGATTTTTTTAGTGGGACTCTACATTCGGCACTGAAAGCGTTAGATGGACATAAGTTTGACCTTGAACGTACCAGACCAAGGCCGTGACTAAAAATAAACCTTTCCCCCTCTATTCGCCTCCGATACTTAACGTATAGGGTAACTCGCCTATACCTTAATTTCCCCCTCAAGGTCATGGTCGATGTCAGTTTTAAAATCATCGGTTAATAGCCAGCGAAAATTGAGTAACTGCTGCCTTTGAATTCCTTTTTCTGTTTTCCCTGCATTTAATAAACGGTATTTTTAGAATGGCCTTGACCGCTGCGTTCAAAGTTAAAATAATTTTCGCTCATGTTCAAAGTTAAACATGAAAATTTCCGCTGTGTCTATTTCTGGGGCCAAAAGCATCAATAAAATTGTCTTGATATTAATTTGGTCATGGTCATTGTGAACTCAATTTCAAGGTGATTAGTGAATAGCTTGGGAATAGTTAATGTTTGCTTTATATTTAGAAAAATCTAGAAATTCTTCTAAAACGATGATTTTTACGATGACGTTGACAGGATGATCGAACTGAAATAATCTTTAAGAAAGGTCATATTTGACCTTCAAATGATGCTCATGGTTACCCCTGAAAGAAAATGCAAAGCCCTACTGTATTTTTTTACTATGCCCCTTGAATATTCTAAAATAACCTTCAGGTTTCGGGGCTTTTGCATTAATCTGAATGAGCTTCCTTTTGCTTATTTTCATCCAGAGTGTTTTCTAACGAATTACAACATAAAAACGATATGAAAATTTTGACAGATACCTGACGGGCAATCATACTATACTTATATTTGCTGTGATATGAATGCATATTTACGGGTGGGGATGGAGTCCTTTTCGCCTGCAGAAACGAGTTGTGCAACAAATCTGCAATTGGCGGGTTCAAAAGTGGGACGCTCCACAACCAAGAGTGAGCGACACTACCAGACAAAATTGGTAGGTAGTGCCGATGAAATTCTGTAGATTCAAGGATGAAATAGGTAGGGGAAAAAATCAGAACCACCGCAAGATCATCTGTAGTTCAAGGCGGTTGCGGCACCTGAGCCGTTTATGAAAAAAAGTATATTTCTTTGCGCGTGCACACAACAGGTGTTTTCATTATTGAAATAAATTGACTTCTTTATTACAATTTGTGCAATGAGTATACAGGTTGGTCCTTTGCAGTCATCGTACAAACTTTTTGCTCCATTCTTGCTTATAAAGTTGTGAATATTCGACACCTGGCAGTTGTATTCAATATTTAATTAAAATCAGACCATCTTTCGTTTCCTTACCAATTCTACCAGTCTATACATGTTGTACGTACAACATCCAATATATGGAAAGTGGAGTAAGGGATATGCGTACATAATTATAAGCAACCCAAATCTACGTTCCTCGTGTGCCCGACTGTGCGCATATGTTTGATTAGTAGCCAAAGACTAAATGTAATTATTTACCTTTATTTTTGGTTCCAGCTCTTTTTTTGGAAAAGGATTAAAAAATGTTGATAAAGGCTAAACTTCGCAAATCAATCCACTGTAATTTTGTACTTTTGTTAATAAAGACGTCTATTATTATTATTTAATATCTGAATTATTTTAAAAAATCGATTAATGATAGATATTCAGCAATGCATGGAACCGGTGCGTATGAAATTTTCATTCGAATCAGTAGCTGGGTTTATGGATTATATTAGAAAATAGATATAATTGTCATGCGTCGATCATCCATATTTTCAAATATAGGTTCAATTATTGCGACGCGGACGGTGAAACGAGATATATTTTAGAATTAATTTTCACTGTCCAATATAAACAATCAAAAAGCGTCCCGTCATGCAGGAATATGCGATATACATGTATAGAATTATGAGAATTGGAAAACATGTCAGCCAGTCTCCAAAACTTCGTCCGAAACAGTTGGCAATTTTATAGCGGGTAATAGCCGGATACGACTTTATGGAAATTTCATTTACAGTATCGGTTTTGAAATGAGCGCAGGTTAATATTGTCAGTTGTTTGTTCTGCGCTTTTTCCAAATAGTGCGTTGTATCCTGTGAAATATGCGCAATCAATGCCGTTGCAATACTGTGACACAAATAGTTCTAAACCCAATAACAGGCCATCGAAATAATGGTGGGAATTAACGAAATTCCGATTCCCGCAAAGAGGTTTAGGTAACCTGAACGATAGAGTAATTAGAAATGATCGGAATGTATAGACGGGGTTTTGGCCATGTAAATAACTCAAATTTGAAGTTTATGGCAGCTCTGAAATTTTTGCATTTAAATATATTGAAACATATGTTCTTTAAACTTTCGTCAATATTTTGCTATCTACTTTAGTGACAGTTTTTTCGTGGCATTTGCATGTTTGTCCAAAATTCACTAATTTTCAATGAATCGATACACAATTGCAATAAGATTTCAGCTTCTGTTTTTAATGTGACCGCAGTGGAGCAACACCTTTATTTTTATACGTTTCCTATCTTAGCGCGGGGAGAACCAATCAAGATGATTCAAAACTAAATTAGTATGAAAATGTATACCTATAACTGGTGACTTTCAGGAGTTCTGTCGACGAAGAATCAGATAATATTTTTCAATCCTGGGGTTGCACAATTATATTACAGCCGTATATAAATCCAATTTCATCATGAATTTAACATATTTCCAGCAACAAACCAAGTACGTTGAAAAATAAGGTTTTAAGTTTTTCACAATACAGTAGGAAAACTGTCTGCACTCAAAACGTATTAGGAAGTTATTTAAGGACTTGAAAAGAAAGTAAGTCGCACTATCGGAAAAATTCGGAAAAATCAAAAAATATTTTTAATATACAGCTGCTGGTCTTTCTGTCTTATTTAAATAATTTAATTTTGCCCACAGATGACTGATGCCATGTCCGAATCTAAAAAGAAATGTAGACAGTACAGTGTTGATTATTTGAAATTTGGCTTCATTCCATCATTACCGGACAAACAATCGCCTATGTGCCTTTTATGCAACAAAGTTATGGGCAATGACGCTATGAAACCATCTAAACTGCAAGATCATCTGAGAAGATGCCACCCTGATAAAACAGAGAAAGATTTGAAATACTTTCAAACACTCAAAGATAAATTTCAGAAGAGACCTACACCGAGCAGAATGTTCGCTTCGACGTCACAAAGAAATGATGATGGTTTGCGGGCGTCTTACAATATCTCGTTACTTATAGCAAAATCCGGAAAACCGCATACTATCGGAGAGAAGTTAATTTTGCCAGCCGTTGAAGAGGTTTTAAAAACTGTTTTACACAAACCTGCATCTGACATCATTAAAAGAATTCCCTTAAGCAACAATACTGTTGAAAGTTGTATGATGAAATGAGTTCTGATATTGAAAGCTTCTTATGTAATTATTTGCAAACGACCCATTTCTCTATACTACTGGACGAGTCAACTTTACCTGATAATGCAGCATTATTATTGGCATATGTTCGTTTTATTATGAATCAAGAAATCTACGAAGAACTGCTCTCCGCAAGAACTTTGATAACCGACACTAAAGGTGAATCAATATTTCATGTTTTGAAGGATTACTTCATTGAAAAAGCAATTCCTTTATCAAATATAATATCAGTAGCTACAGATGGAGCACGTGCCATGGTTGCACGTTATCGTGGATTTATAAGCTATTTAAAACAAAATGTGTCAGGGGTGTTAGCAATACATTGCGTCATCCATCGACAACATTTAGTTGCTAAAAATTTGAGTGTTAGATTGCATGAATCACTTCATTTAGTCATTGATGCAGTAAACCGAATCCGAAGCAACGCGTTGAATACGCGGTTATTTGCGCAGTTGTGTGAAGAAAATGACGAACACTTTCATCAATTACTCCTTCACACTGAAGTACGCTGGCTGTCGAAAGGCTTATGTTCGACAAGATTTCTTGCACTTTTTAGAATTTCTGGATACTAAAGATGAAATTTTAAAAGAAAATTTAATGAAGAGGAAAACAGACATCGCCTATTTAACAGATTTGTTTACAAAATTTAATATGGTTAATTTGCAATTACAAGGCGACAGTTTAAATTTGATTAAAACAAAGTCCATCTTATCAGCGTTTCTTGCCAGAGTTAAACTAATGAACCAAAATATTGGACGGGGCGAATTTTCTCAGTTCCCCAATTTGTCACAGACAAGCTGCCAGGAAGACGACGTTTCAACTTAGGTTCAACATTTAAGTGCCCTCTATTCAGATTTTGAATCTATGTTTGAGGATATTTTGACTATGGTAATACCACCGTGGATAATTAATCCATATGGTGACATAGAAGAAACGAATGTCATAATACAAGAGGAACTGACTGAACTAAGTACAAACGAAGAACTTAAGGTTCAGTTTAAAAACGGATATCAGCAATTCTGGCTGCAAAACAACATACCCGTTTCTTATCCCGTATTATGGAATATAGCGAGGAAATTCCATCGTCATACCTAGTGGAAAGGGGGTTCAGCGCTGTTACCAATCTCCTAACGAAAAAAAGAAACAGACTGGACATCATTAGCCGAGGAGATTTAAGATTAACCCTTACAAAATTGACGCCAAATGTTGATAATTTATTAATAAAGCATCAGGTTCATCCTTCTCACTAAAAATATTGACTTATTGCTTATGTTATTTTATTTATAGTTTATTTTTGTTTATTGGTGTCTGACCAGTTAATGCCCGCATTGGGAATAAGTGCCCACATTGATTTTTTTATAGAAAATATATTTTTTTTAAATTATTCTGAAAATTCAAGGATAGGTACACACTAAAATTCGTTAATTTTTTGCCTATTTTTAGATAACTTAAACGTATAAGAAGCGGAATTTAATCAAACTAACAGTGAAATTATTGTAGAACATACGTTTATGTTATAATTTATAAACGAAGTCGGTTATTGTACTATTTTAAGTAAAATTTTTTTAGTATTTTTCACTTTTTTTATTTTATCCCTCTTATTTTTTTTCAATGCGGGCACTTATTCCCAATGCGGGCACTTATTGGTCAGACACCTATTTACATGTATTTAATGTTACGTATATTTTACATAACAGATACAAAATATTATTTTGAGTAGTTTTAATTTAAATTCAATTAATAAATGTATAAATTAACATGCGTTTTTACTTTAAGTTTTTAACACTAAACTTCACTACAGTTAGAAATTTACAGGAAATCAATATCAGGTATGGCAAGGGGTCTACGACACAAAAAAGTTTGCGGAACTCTGATCTAGTGTAAGGCATTCATATTACCAAATCTATTCTAATGAAATTGAAAGTGTACAGAGGAGATTTCTTAAATACTTGACTTTCAAATTAGATGGTGTTTTATCCCAATCGTGGGACTCTCCATCAGCGCTGTTGCTCAGATTTGAAATGCATCCTCTTGAGCTGAGAACAATTTGTCATAGTTTAAAATTCCTTTACAAACTCGTACACAGTGATGTTGATTCTTCCGCTTTATTAGCTAAAATCGATTTTCATGTACCGTCCCGCATTTCCCGAAGATTTCTCGCTTTTTACTTAGAAACACCGAATTATAATGTTATGATTAAGTCACCCGTGTACTTTATGTGCTCCAGCTTTAACACCTTAGCTGATAATTGTGATAAAGTCAAAGATATACGTATATTAGCTGTATTCAGCGACTACTATTATTCAATTTATAGCATTTAAGACATGTAGGTGAGTAGGTGTAGCTATTCATTTTTTCTATCATTTTTTTTTTTTCAAAAACTGGACGAGCTATGATTGTAGTTAAAAATATTGTAACGTCAAATTGTACTCAACTACATTGTCCTTTAAATGGATGTATCTGTTGGGCAATAAATATATTATTATCATTATTATTATTTTTTTCATGCTCATAGTTCTCACGTATGGTGGTGTACTATCTTTGAGGGGAAGTTCACCCCAACCAAGGATAGTTTTTACAGAGACAGTGCCTTTCTCACAATATGACACGTCTGTAAGATAACGGCTTTTTGGAATAGTATGTGAAGGCCGTTTGGAAGGTCCAAGGTCTTTAAGCTTGAGGAGACTTGTTTGGTAACAGCCCCTTCCACAGAGATAACAATGGGTACAATCTGCACTTCCCTTAGCTTCCAAATCCTCTTCATTTCAATCGCCAGGTTCTGGTATTTAACAGATTTTTCACGCTCTACCTTGAGGATGATGTGTGTAAGCGGAATTCCGACCTCAATTATCTGTGCATATTGGTTGCTGTTGTCTATCAGGACAATATCGGGACGGTTAAAGTCTACAGTTTTGTCGGTTAGAAATGGTCGATCCCAATAGAGTATTACATCTTTTGATTCCAGAACTGACTCAGGCGTGTACTTGTAATATGGCGGAGGAGATTGTGCCAAGTTAAGTTTACGAGCTAGCTGTGAATGGATTATTTTTGCAACCTGGTTGTGTCTTCCCAAATAATCGCCAGCTGCCAACGCAGGGCAAGCTCCAGTAATATGTTCAATGGTTTCGCCCGCCTGGTTGCACTTCCTACATTCATCTGGGACGTTGGATTTGAGAATATGTTTTTCATAGTTTTTTGTTTTTATTACTTTGTCCTGGATGGCAGTTATGAACCCTTCCGTTGTTGGATGGAGATATCCCTTTCTCAAATAGGTGAATGACAAAGCTTTATCTATGTTGTCACCTCTCAGTTGGCATGGGTAACGGCCATGGAGAATTTTCTCCTCCCAGCATTCTCTCCTCCCAGTATTCGATTCCGAGGCCGTATCTGCTTGAGGTTGCCGAAAGCTCAAAGGGGTAAATGAGTCATCTGCCTCCACTACAGCAGCTATCTTAGGACTTAGATGGTTATTAAAGTAATTTTGTAATTTGGCTACCTGAGACTTGCAGAGTTGTGTTATGTTGAGCAATCCGCGGCCCCCTTGTGCGCGAGGGAGGTACAGCCGTTCGGTTGATGCCTTTGGGTGGTGACAATGGAACTTTGTGAGCTTTACAGGAGTGATTCTGTCTATCTCTTCAAGGTCTGTATTACTCCATTTCACAATACCGAAGGAATATGTAAGTGAACGTATTGCCCTAACTGTTGATTGCTTTGAAAAGATTCTGCGAGTTTAATTTGGTGTTGAGTAGTTGTGTAAGCCGACGGATGTACTTTACTCTATAGATTGACTTCATGGTAGAATGACACACACCCCTACTTTGGTGCATCCCCAGGTACTTATACGGTTGGTCTTCTGCTAGAGGCGCGATGTTTTCTAAATTTTCTTCCAAATGAGTTAAGTTACCTTTCCTTATAGTGGCAGTGGCGCACTTATCTAACCCAAATTTCATTCCTATATCATTGCTGAATATATACTAAGTGACATATAAATCCGAACACCCAGTTTAAATGGTTTTATTTTAATAAGATTTTGTATAAGTACTTAATGAAGCATAATAAGTAAATGATAAAAATTTCAAAATGATTGCACTGCTTTAAAGCCCTTTGACCTTTAATAATGTGTGGATGCACCCTGATGTGCTACACATTCTCCAACGCGCCTAGGCATGCTTCTGATCAGGTGGTCAATGTCCTCCTGTGGTATCTCATTCCAGGCAACCACCAACTCCTCTCGAAGTGCTTCTAGAGTCTGAGGAGGACGTTGCAAATTGAGCAATCTCCTACCCATCATATCCCACATGTGCTCAATTGGGAATAAGTCGGGAGATCTTGGTGGCCATGGTAACAATGTGACATGATTATGTTGAAAGAAGTCTATTGTGACTCTTGCAACATGTGGTCGGGCATTATCTTGTTGGAAAGTTGGATCTGCCAGGGTCTCAAGATAGGGTAAAAGATGGGGTTCTAGAACTTCGTGGATATAACGCTGCGCGTTCATGTTACCTCTGATGAAGATTAAAGGTGACCTGGAACCATAAGCTATAGCACCCCAAACCATAACTCCAACAGTGTGATGAACATGTCTTTCAACAAAAAACTGTGGATTCCTTCTTTCACCACGTCGCCTTCTAATCCTGGCACGACCATCGTGCATGCCTAAACAAAATCGAGACTCGTCACTAAAGACAATTCTGTTCCATTCCTGATCCCAGAGTGACCGTTGTCTGCACCACTCAAGGCGATTACGTCGGTGTTCTCGAGTTAAAGGGAGGACCCAGTGTGGCCGGTATGAAAACAAGCCAAAACTTCTCATTCGTCGGTAAACACTTCGCATGCCAATAGGTCTTCCGTGTTCTGCAAACCATTCATTTGCAATGGACCTGGTAGTGGAGAAACGGTCCCTTAAGGCCAATAATCTTAGGCGGCGATCTTCACGGTCTGTTGTTCTACGGCGGCAAGCAAGATGTTGCCTTGACTCGGCGTATAGTTTGAGGTCATCCATAAATATATAGCAGATGGTTGAATCTAGTAGGCTCACTCACATCGAGCATATACCCGGACTTGGAATTATTCAGCAGTGATGACAGTGGGTTCAGGGCTAGACAGAACCGCATGGGGCTGAGAGAATCACCCTGGAATATGCCTCTGCGTATGCGCACGTCTCCTATGTCCTCCGAATTAACTCTTAAAGATCAGATGGGACAATAGGTTTATGATGCGGCTGTCTACTTTATATATATCCAGCACCTTTAAAAGCCAATTATGTGGCACGGAATCAAACGCCTTAGACTAGTCGATGTAGCAGACATGGAGATTTCTCTTATTTTTACACGGATGCTTCTTAATATTATTATTATTATTATTATTATTATTATTATTATTATTATTATTATTAAAAGAGGCGCTACTGTCTGTCTTGCTGACACTCCATCTAAAAAAGTGAAATTTGTAGTAATGGAAACTAAAAGATCATCCACAGGGTGTAAATTTTTTTGATTTTTATGCGTAATGGGAAATAAAGTTAGGTTCTGGAACCTGGAACCATTCCGGAATGGCAAGATTCAGTCCAAAATGTGTGTTCGCGAATCAGTATGTTTGATCTGCTGTTTCAAATAAGAGAGCGTTGCTGCGCGGCTTCGTTTAACTATTTTCCGAACAATCTACTTGACGTCATCCTGCAGTAACAAAGTTGATGGTTGAGCTTTCCTAGAAGAATTTCCTCTCACGGAAGTATTTTTCGTAAATTAAGAAGTCACTTAATCTGTCGCATTCCCTAATTCAATCTAATTCGTAGTATTTATTCAGCGCGACTGGTGGAACGTTGCAAACGTGGCTGCCTGGAACAAAAGTGCAATTTAACCGTAACCTTTTAATTAATCGAGTCTTTTTGTGCGGTCACCAGCGACAAGAAAAATCCCTCTAAAAGGGCGGCCACCGCTCGAATTTAGACATTTTTTTCTGTACTGTTTTCAACCTAATTAATCGACACGGAAGAGTGAAGTATGTGCGGTCCCTGGCAAATTTAAATTGAATTAGTGGACTAAATAAAAAAA